CAATCAAACCCAAATCGGCCCTAAATTTGGAATTTAACAACAGTGTTATCCCAATTTGGTACTAAAGGGAGAGTTGTGCGGGGACCATTTTTTTACATGGTGCTACAAAGGAAGCTCATGCCAGGCCTGACAGGGCACTACCAGAAATAATACTGTATCAGTACTGAGGAGGCGCACAGCGATCAACTATTTCAGGCTCACAACGCGGAAGTATCGTCTTACATCCACCTGGCTAAGCTTCCTGAAGGGAAGATAAGCATTCCGAAAGTAAGCGCTTTACATTCATTCACCACAGTTCTTCTATGTACCTCAGTTTCCAAGAGCCAGGTGCGGTCGAGTGCAGACCACACACCACAAGTGACGACGGCCTCCACAAAATGTAAGTTTTCTGCCAATGAAATGATTAGCCTGTTGCAGTTGTATTCTATCAGTTGTCACTAATTACAACTATCATTTACCAACTATCAGCTATCACTATGAACCACTAGTAACCAGATTTACTTGGAGGCCGTCGTCACTTGTGGTGTGTGGTCTGCACTCGACGCGCATCTAAACTTCGGAAACAGAGTGAATATGCTCTCCATGCTCGCTTCGAGAGAGAGAGGCTACTCTTTCCTCATGCTTTTCCATACTGTGGCTAACTAGTGTCGTCAAGGGCACTGTGAAAAGGCCAGCGAAATAGGTAAATGCCTTGTCAGGGTTTCAGCAGCTCCCCCATGATCGCGATTCTTGGAGATGAATCGAAACTGAACTGATTATGGCTGTTGATTTTTCAGATCTACTGTACGCGAAAATTCTCAGGAAACTAATCTATTGAAAGGGTATATAGCCATGGAATACCTTGAAAACGCCAATCAGCGTGAGATTTTTGAAAGCTTCACGCTGGGTGAAGTGAGACAGGTGGGTACATTCAATTTCCTGTAATGAACTTCACTATACGGCCGGAAAATGGCAGAATACTCAATATTGCGCAGTAGCTCGTCATCGTATAGCGCCTAATTCGAAAGCTGGTGCATGAAGAAATGACCTTTCATATACCCGCGAAAAATTCCGGGGGGGGGGGGGGAGAAGAACTCATCACACAGGGGAGCGGGCGCCAACTGCGAATGTTATCACGTGACACCATCACGCGACGAGCCGCGGCTGCAGGTGTATTTTACCGTGGATGTCGAAAATCTTTTTTCATTTCGAAAGTGACTGCAGCATCCACATTTACCCCGAGGTGGATCGTACAGAACTAGAGCTCCAATTCAAAATGTCCAACGAATGAGCAAAAATTTCGGAACAAAATATTTTCCCTTTTTTTCTAGTACATAATTCAGGCCTTTCATGATTCTACATCTAAGTGGCCGTCCTTGAGCTGGCATCTTATATGTTCACTCAAGTGAGAGTGGACTTCTTCTTCGAAGCACCATTCCAAACCATGTGCACGGGTTTGCTACAGAAAACGGTACGAAATGATCTCATTATCCGGAATATTTTGGAGTGATTCAGACTGCAAATCGTTCCACTGTTAAACTTCATTTGCACAGTGCATTTCCTATCAGATGCTAGCAACTAATGCCTTCCTCAAGCGCGTCAATGGCAGATTAATCTCACGATGAGGTGAAAGGTCGAGAAAGGGAAATATGCGTAGTCGAAAGCCCCCCAAGGGTGCGGAGCGATGCGCAATTCACTACAAAGCATGGTCCCCCGGCGTCCTAACATGGCCATCCCCGCAGCGCTTTAGACGCGGTACGCCCACTCTCTCGCTTTCTGGGCCTCTAGCCGTTGAGCAGAGAGAGAGGATTAGCGTTGAAGAGGGTGACACCGATGAGGGTCGGTGCGGAAATCGAAGGGCAAGGAAGAACTCATATTCCTTGGATCCTGCGCCGTTTTTCATGGCTTTTTCTTCACTAACCAGCTCTTCCTTGTTTCTAATAGGCTTCAGCCTCATTGCTAACCAAGCAGTTGAGGTGTTCTGTTATGAAGGTTCACTCACCGTCATTGCGTTTGCAGAGTATGTGAGTAATAGCTTGATTAGCCGCGCACGATGTCGGTCCTAGTCGCGTAGCTAAACAGAGAACTTCTTGGCTAAGCCCCTGAATTTAAGAAAAGGCGTAATTATTTGGGGTTTTGAAAAGGTTTCTAAGCCTCTCCTGGGTGAGTTTCAACTCTACGAGAGTTTTGCCGTTCATATAAGATCTGTATAAAATACTTAAAAGGTAAAAGTTGTTTTAGTATTAGAGAATTCATTTCAAATGATTCGCCTCAGGAAATGGAGGAAATAATCTCTACGCTGCGGTCACATGATGCCGGCAAATTTGCACGAAATGCTGATCAGTTGAAGGCAATTGTTCCGGATATGATCAATTTCAAATGGGCAGATAACTTAGGCTACAAGTTTGGTAAGGGATCGAAATTTTTGAAGTCATCTGCTTCCTGGAGGAAACGGTAGAAGTCAACAAGACCCACCCTACGTTACTGAAAAAAAACCAAAGTAATAGCCTGCAAAGGAGGCTTCTTCTTTGCATTCTTAACAACTAATATCTGGTCCCACATTTATTCTAACCAAAACAAATTCGTAGCATACCATTAGAAAAGACACTTGGAGCGATAAGGGTTCAGTTGCTGATAAATGTTCCCGGAGGCAGCTACCTCACCTCAGATTCCAGCCATTTCCAGTGGTTCTCACTCACAGAAACAAAGCGAAACTGCGAAAAAAGAACA